CAACCCCCGCGAACTGCAACACCTTGCATCATATTCAGAGACCATCCGATCTCTGGCGAGATGCATACAACTCAGGGATTGCTTAACATAACGCGCACTGATTGCGCGTCATGCTCAACAACTCAATGCTGATGTCCGGAGTTGAATCTCCGTCCAAAAGCTTGTGACAGATTATCATTAATAAGTTCTCAATAGTGGAGATGAGCCAGTCGGTATGCAAAATGACATAAAACGATAGTATTCATAGCAGTCGTTACGCCTTTTTCGTAACACCTTGCTCGAAAATGGGAGGCCGGCTCCAACATGACGCGATAGGCGCGTCTTGCGGACATATAATGTGAAACGACGCGTCAACGATCGATGACTCCATCGAGCGTTAAGTCGAGTCGACTCAGTCTACTAAGTCCTTTTCCTCCCATTTTAGACGATTTTTGGATAACCAGGAAACTAAAATTCCTTAGAAGCCTTAGTGTAAACTTATAAAATCCCCAAAGATCTCCGATGATGAAATCGTCCGCTAAGTTATCGAGAAAGAAAGCATTTTCTCGTTGAAAACCCCAATACCAAAACTCACCTGGATGAATGCCCGAAGTCGCGCTGCCCCATGACGTTCCCAATAACTGAAGACCAAGCCGCTACAAATGTTGAGTCGAGTGGAACGAGTGAGACGCCGCGATCACCTCCTTCCGAATGGGTGAGGTATCAGAGGAAAAGTGTAATTGACCTGAAGATTGTACGGTGACACTCTCCAAGGTCAACTGAGCTTACTGACACCATGTACCAGATGATGCACAGTTAGCGACTGCGTGAATATAACTAGATATGAGGAGTGGAATAGCATGAGCAGCAAGACCTGATACCGGTTGAGTCTAGGGATATACCCATGACTCGTTAAGCGCGGGACCTCACTATACACCGAGTATTCAGAAAATCGACACGCGCTCAAATGGTCGAAAACTTCGTAGACATCCAAGACATCTTCGCACTCCCACCTGTGGGAATACGCATACACCATCATAGCATTTAATAAATCTTCTGGCAAGAACAACAGCGAGTGGGACATACCTCAATCAATGACATGAGAAACAAACCGCATTTCCTCGAATGTAACCCTCACGTTGGTTCCTGGGCACACTCTGCCGTAATTCCATCCAAGAGAACTCTTCAATAGGCGACTTACACGTTCAATTCTGGCAGTACTTCCACTTTGAACATCTTCCTACACAGCGTGCTGAATACATCTAGAGGACCCATGAAGAAAACCACAAGCATGATTGATAGCACTAACTCAAGACAGGACTCTAGGAACACGAAACGGGGAAAGGACCAAGACTGCCCTGTAGTAAGCAGCCGAAGCGACAGAATAACAAGGCACGTGATGACCCTCCACATAAGCGTGTGTATTATACAGCAACAACAGTAATTGCAGTAGGTCGACGAACGAGCTGAACTCCGAACGCCGTAACGTACTGCCATGAGTATAAGCAAAATTACGAATCAGAAACGGAGGAAGAGATAACGTATCAGGATCGACAATTTTGCGATATGAATGAAAACACGAAGTAACCAAAATAACTGAACTCTATGTTACGCGCATAGTTCTTTAATAGCCGCAAGTACACCGAACCCAGAACCTATGATAGAGATAAGCATCAAAACACAAAGAAACAATGTCGTCGCTATCCACTTGGGTGACCCAAATATCTTCTCGCCCTTCATGCTTGAGAGACGTAAGTAGAAGACGGATGGGTATATGTTGTGGATAAGCGAAAAACAGATAGAACCAAGGAGATTAATAAGCGCTGAGAAACTGGGAACAAATATTGCTACCAGGACAGTAACAGCAACAAGGCAGCTTCTCAACAACACGGACCTAAAAATCTGATTACTCTTGATACCAACCCATTCCTCGAATATTCGACAGGACGGGTTCATCATAACAACATAATGGGTGGCACATACAATGAGGATACCAACGATACACGTGGTAGCGACCGCGGAGTTATTTCCCGGTACTGGAGCCATCGCGTTGATGATAGTATCAAAATGCAAGAGCTCTTGTCCCCAACCGATATAGCCTCCCAAGGAAGCTGCTAAGAATAGCAGTATCAAACAGATGAATGCTATCAAGAGCACCTTGGACTGTGCTTCTGGATGCTTCATATCTTGTAAAATAGTAGTTGTAGTACTGGTGACCGCATATGAAAACGTCAATGTGGAGAATGTCGTGCCCAGGCCTACTACTGAGATCGGCGCCGCTCGATACGGTACCGATGTAGTAGTTTGAACCCGTTCTTGAACGCCAGCAATAACGATCGTTATGAGCACCACAAAGACGGCAGCGACTCCCACAGTTCCGCTGAAATACCCAACTTGTTTCATCGTCCGCAAGCACGCGAGTGGCAGCATCACTGCGGTCCATATGAGGATCCAATATGTCTGGCTGATTTGCGGAGCTAGAAGTACCGAGTTTTGCCCAAGTAGTAGCATAAGCAAACACCCTGTGCCCACAAGGGCCACGTTCAGAGCAACAGTAACCGCCATCATTCCTGGGTACCCGAACGCATCTCGACCGATATCTTCATAATTCCGAGTACAAGAGTTCATACATTTCCGCAGTAAATGAGTGTCCAGGAGACCCTCCAGACCACATGCGAGCAATAAGATGAAACCCAGAACGTAACCGGCCTGCGCTATGGCGCCCGGCAAGCCGAGCATCCCAACACCAATGCCCGTGAGAATGATGTTCACCACCGCAGAGAAGTTAGACTGTCCAGTCTCCACCTCGGTGATCTTACTGGTGGTGGAATCCGATGATACTGACATAAGAAGGAAAAAGCGACGTAACTAACTACACGGCATTGCATCATCACTATCGAAATGTGATGTAGACCTCTACTACATAGCATTCACTACTACCCCTAGAATATGCAATCACATGAAGGGTAATCGCACGGCAACTCATTACCCGCATCTAGACAGATTATATCCCTTCGTTTCAGGGGATCCTCCCCGAATCACACACTGCGAGTGAACCTTACGAATATCTCGACAGTCTTCATTGTAGATCTCGCTCGCCCAGTAGGCCACGCCACAAACGATAGTCAGGAGATTATTAACAGTCGGGGGAAAAGGGGAGACAATTTGCACAACAATTAAGCCTCTAAGGCTCACACGGTGCGATTTGCGTCTTTGTGGACCCAATTCGAGAACGTATGTTATGCCGTTGGGACGAGAAAAGGGGCTGCGGAATCATTCGCGTCACCAAAGGGTGTCACCGCTACGACCCCGTCAGTTCGGTGTGAACAACTTGCAAGAATCGAACTACTCTTTGATATTCGCAGATGCATCCTCCGAATGGGTGGCTCAGACTACTGAACTCAACATAGCCTATCCTCCGAAATTGACGAGCATATTGTTATCCCCATAGCTGCCGACTTCAAACTTCAGACACTTTCAGAACGAGTCAACAAAAAGCAACCAAGTGTTATCAATGATAGCAGCAGTAGGGTAGTAGTGTTCGCAGGATGAGAAAAGTAGGCACTACGAGATTCACAAACACTGGCTCAGCTCACGTCCGAGCTGATGCTCGTGAGATCGAACATATGAGATCCGACAGCAACATCAAGGTTGCGAACGGACGAATAAACGATGATGGTTCGATGCTGGATGATGATGATGATGATGGAGATTCGAGGAGCTACGACAGCGACAGAATAGTACAGACGATCGACACCAGTCGCAATCACGAGAACAGTGCCCATACAGTGTTTTCAACGATGGAGATAACGCTCGATACGAGACCACGAGAAGAGCATAATGCAGTGGCTCTACCATGGCATATCGCATGGCATGTTGTTGCTGCCCTCGGGAGAAACATAGTACAAGTGTTTGAGAGTCAACGGCAACACCGCCCAAAGTGCGCCGACTGACTGAATACGATTGGTTCTACGATGATACTAACGATTATGATTAAATTACGAATAACCCTAACCTCAGCTTAATCTGATGTGTCGACCGGCAATCGACCACCAGAGGCGATCTTGATCAAGTTGAGCAGCTGATCGGTTGTAAGTTGCCAGACGATCTCGCCGTGCTCATTGTAGGTGGCACCAACACCATCATGAGAGACGAGACCTAGAACTCTGGCTGCCTCTCGGACTCGATCCTTGGTGATTAGATCTGACAACAACGCTTTCCCATACAGGAGCTACTGTGCGTGCTATTCCTCATGCAGATGCAAAAAATCACATTTCTCGGCTAGTACGGCGAATATTCATATAATTTCTCAACGTGATGGATGTATCTATATGAAAAGTATACACTGTTTGGTTAGATGAATCGAACCCCCGGTCGATTCGTTGGGCGTATGTTAAAATGACCGTGCTAGTGTAACCCTACTACTGCTACTACTACTACTACTACTACTACTACTACTACTACTACGACTACTACCACTACCACTACTACTACTACTACTACTACTACTACTACTACTACTACTACTACTACTACTACTACTACTACTACTACTACTACTACTACCACTACCACTACCACTACTACTACTACTACTATTACTATTACTACCTGGATGCGCATCGTGCGGTGTGAGCTGGGATGTCGATGGGCCAAACGCCATCCCACTTGCACGTGAGCTGGGCCCACCGACCATCCCGGCGTCCCCTAGAAGGTTACTAGCTTGATTACGCACTCCAGTGAGCATTTCATCCCTGGTGTGTGCGAATCGACAGCAGTCACCAGCATTGCAGCCTCGAAAGCCTGGCCCAATATACTTGCACATCTGCTGTATGACCCTCTGGTGGCCCACGACCAACTCGCTCTTATCATGGGCAAAGGGACAAGTACTGTCAGTGCACTTCGCTCCGCTAGGGCACATGACGGTTTTTGGGTTGGCCAGCTCCTCCGGGGAATGTGCGAAGGTGCAGTTCTCGCCCTCGGTACAGCCACCAGCTAGATAGTAGATGCACATGCGTACTTTATACCTACTACGAGGCATGAGCATGCTCAGCAGGGATACACCGGCATTACCTCTTCCTCAACCTTTCTGTGTTACTACGATTCGTTGGGTTTGGTGACATAGTCAGGGTTCGATAAGTTCGATAGATTCGATACGAATAGGGCTACCTATGGGAACGTTAAAAACAACCCCGTTGGAATCCCACTACAACACAGAACATGGCCAGGGCACGAAAAAGCATGAATACCACCGATTCACGATCGCCACCATTTTCATGGGACGCTGCAAATCCCAAGCGGAGAACTGTGAAGTCCTTATGATATCCGGGAGCCCTATTGTTGTTGTATTTATCTGGGCCAATGCACTCTCGCTTATTACTTCACCATTCACTCCGTTTATTACATCACCGGCACCGCAGGGCCCAGTTGTTGCGTCCTTAACCCGACAGGAGAATGCACATACGCCGCAACCATGGGAACAGAAACAACCCCCACGGGGATATACCCCCACCCCAGCACACACAACACACACACATTAACAGTAACAGACTGAATAGTCATCAGGAACGATAATACGTCTGAGATTACTCCCTAGCAGAGCTCCCATTCTTCCTATGATGCTGACCCTTCACCATACGCTGGCCCGAATCCATACCGCTGAAGTAGCGCCTCATTTCCTCTTCCTGCGAGACCCTCTCAACACGTATCACATCGTCAACGTCGGGATTCTCCGCCGCCACATGCGTGTCCTCGCCAATTCTTATCTCCCCAGGACTCGCATTGGGCAAGTACATCACATTGCTCTGCATACCCAGAGCAGTTAGACCGTCGTCCAAGCTCTGGTCGCGACCCGGGGTCACCGCACTCCTCGGTGGTTCGGAATCATCATCAACGAACCAGTCATTGAATTCTCGTAGTTCTTTCAACCGTTCTTCCTCTTCCGCATCCGAGTGCTCCGAGTCGTCATTTGAATGTTTTTCAACTGGACGAACGCGCGAGTATACATACGCGGCAACCGCAGCAGCTATCACCCCTCCCGTGAGGAGAGCGACGGGCCTCGAGATTAAATTGCGAGATTCCATTCTTGGTCAGAATACTGAAACATGAGGGCATCCAGTGCACTAGAAAAACTGAACGCAAATCTCAACTACTCCAACTTATTACCAATCTACAACACTAATTATCCCTTCGAGGATCACTCGATAAATCAGCTTGTTGTCATCGTCCCCAAGCAGCTACATAATATTCAGCGTACAACTCATTCGAATGTGTCACCACCGTTCACGATAGGTGTCACCATGCTATCACCATGCTATCGCATGCGTGTCACCGCTATAGCCGCGATGATAAAGTACCCAAACAAGGACGGATCACTGCCTGAGCATAGCCGAATCTACCCCCACACCATGCCCTCCCTCTAGTACAGTATGCATCCACTACCCCGTCCATTTGATCGATATAAGCATCGCCACACTTCTTTTTCCACAGCCTGTCACCAAGGCCACTGTCACCAGCTGATGGTATAGACTGAGCCCTTAGGTACTGTGATGCCAGGAAGCTCGCAACGAAGACCACAGCGAATGTGAACTGCATTGGCATGCTCTGCACGACGCCGACTATGAGCATTCTAGCGGTGTCGATGAGGGGCAGTGGTGTCCACTTCGGTCAATGCTTGTTGAGAAGCCTGTAGTAGCTCTAGTGACGACAGAGGCCAAGCTTGATAGCAGTACCAGGATGACCCGCGCTGCGAGTCAACACGTGGATGAGGCTTAAGGCATCATCATTAACAGAGAATGACATTTAAAAGGTATCAAAAGCTGTCGCACATAGTGAAAATATCGACACTCTCCTCATAGACTATCAAAGACAACCTTGTTTGACTGGTTGTCGATTAACGTTTCACTTACGGTCAGACTTCATGGACAATTCTGTTTCCACCTCGAAAAAAGACAATTTTGACAACACAATACGATTCATGATTCATGAATAGCCATCTCGACTCAGAGAATGTTGACACTCCATAGCAAGGGGTGTGAAACACTACTGATGGTTCTACTTCCGGTCTGAAAGTCATCAAATCGAGAAGAACTGAGTGCAGATGCACTTAGATCCTCACGATAAGTTTATTGGCATTCAGAAGCCTCACGAGGTTGAAAGTGCGACCAGCTACTCTACTGTGCATTTGATAATCGATCGGAAAATTTTCCGAGTTACGCGTTCATGGTTAAATAGGGATCTGCGAGATATGAACATCTGTAGAAGTTGCCTAGTATAAAGTACCACCTGTCAAGGTTTGATGATGTCGTTGGTGCTTCACTGAGGTTCGGAGGACCAGGTTTCACCAACTCGCCAAGCTTGGTGATCTCGGGTCCTAATGAACTCTCGCCAACATGCTCAATCATGAGATACGACCGCTTCTGGACCATATTTCGCCTCTTTGGCGTCGACACCTAACGAATTTCCCCGATATGTGGCGGAAACTGGTTGAGGTAATCCGTAGTTTCGTTCGCCCAAATGATCTATTCCGTTCTGTGCGCACGGTTACAGCAAGTTGGTATTGGTGTAACATGCCAGTGGCTCAGATATTGCTATAAAACTTGGTGAACTTATCGGTATTCGCCAAGTACGTGTCGTAAAACGCCGATATCTTGGTATAATCATTTGTTTATGAAGATTACACCATCTTTGGCGATATCCGCCTTTTATCGATCACGGTTGGTATATTCCCGAGGCTGTATCAGATTTCGCCAACTCAGAAATCGCCAAAATGACGCCAAACAGATTCGCAGGCCTAATGACAGGAATTATAGGTGATACCAGTGTTGGAACAGATTACAACAATGTGATGAAATACGTTACTCTACAACTGATTTGGACTAAGATTTGGTGGATTCTGCAAAATTCAACAGATGTGCAGTAATCTGCGTGTTGTTCTCATTCCGCCAACTTCAGTATTGGCAATAACTGCACATAGACAGCTCCCGCCAAGTTGGTCTTCTGCACAAGAATTGCCAAGTAGGTGATTTTAGGGTTGCGAGATATGGGTCGACCAGCGCGCGCCCTGGCTATCGACTCATTTTTATGGGGCACGCATGAGCACATGCCTGTTTTGGTGCCACCAAATCGGTGGTGTCCAGCACTCCCACATGAACCCGAATGCGTCTACGTCGCGTGGTAGAGGCCACCGTAAGGTGACTCGAAATTCGGGCAACCGAAGGCGAAGACCTACCCTTGTTAGCCCTCGTCTGGCACGTATACGGGGGAGGCTTTGCAGAAGGAGACGTCGTCCAGCAGGCAGGCCTCTTCGGAAACGGAGAAGGTCGTATTATACGACTCGTATACGATCATGTCCCTTAATATATGACATATATTATATGTGGCTTTTCTTCATCATCTCTCATCATCTAGTATGCCCCGACGTAATGTGCCTTCAAGGAACTATGCATACCTCAGCCTGCCCATCTAATATTGTGACCGGTTATCATGTAGTCTAACAAAAGGCCACGCGGCTGCAGACCAGGGGGCGGCCTAGTGATAGTTTGATAATGTTAGTTTGCGCTGGTCTTGTCTTTCGAGAACGAGACCCCCTTCTAGCCAGTGTCTCCGAGGGTGAGGTCATACACTAGTCATTGGAGTTTGTACAAGATCATTATATCAAGTCTCAACGTTGGTTCACTTCAATAGATGATGGTAATGGAGCGAGGGGCCAATTCACGCCGTGAATTACTTGCTTACTACTCCGGCCGCTTTGCGGTCGGGAGTATGAGGTGCTACAATTTCTGGACGCGATCTGAGGTCGCTCTGCTTCTCTCAGGTGTAGAATCTCTCGGTTTCAATTGGTCTCTTATATCCTATCGGACCGATCGTATCGGTATATTATACTGGTCGGCTCCAGCAGGCATGCGACATAGAACAAACAACGCTGCCGAGGCGCTGCACACTGTGTAGTGCACAGTGACCTGAAGTGTCTCGTGGGTCATCGCCGTTCACATGTACGATTTTTTATTCATCAACTGAGGATTCCTCAGTGAATAAGCACAACGAGCGGATGCGCATCAAGCTCCGAAGGGAGGATGGAGAGCCTTGAATAAGGCAATGGCCTTTCAAGGCTGAGGAAAGGCGAGTGAGTTAATCTCATCAGTTGGTGTTGTTTTTTTGATGGTAGTGTTGACTCGGAATTCAGAATCCTTGTGTTAATCACATGTCAATAGTCCCCGGAGACAAGGTGTTCGTTTGGTCGAACTTCTCTCGACCGCCAAGTTCGTCAGGAGTATTCGGTCGTCAGTGTTGAGGACGACTGGTATGCCGGAGAAGACGATCTTTACCTGTATCGTCTTCGAGGAGACCGTGATGGTGAGGAGTTGGTAGTTGAAGGTGAAGAGGACCTCTGTCCGTTAATCGGCAGAAAGCGAGCCTCGTGGGGCTATGCTGAGTGCTGGAGCAGTTTCCGAGATAACACAAGAACTGGGTAGTGTAAAAAACACGTTTTAAAGGGGAACAAGAACTGGTTATTCTCTAGGCTTCGTTTAGCTGTTCACTACGTTCACGGTATCTTACGGCAATTGTTGCGCTGTCACCAATAAGGTCGTTTCGGGACGCAACGACTGGTAATGGGGTAACCAGGTAACGGTAACTAGTAACCGGTAACTGGTTGGGGACAACACCTTGGTCACTAGATACACCCCATGGAACTTGCGCTTCTGGAACTTAGAGCTATGTACTGTGGCCGAAGAGTCTCTTTTAAAGGCAACTTTGTCGCCCACCTGAACTCAAGTCACCAGCACTAGGATACTATCCTGTTAGGACAACCTACCTGAAACACCTCTTCAGGCTCCATATCCTCTCTATGTTTCAGCGCTCGCTTCCCTGCCACCTGTTTGATGTATTGTGACCCAATTTCTTGAACCTCCTTCAAGTGCTGCCGCAGTCTCTCCAAATAAGCCTGAGCTGCTTCTTGGTCGGAGCCTTGGTCGGAGCCTTATTCAGCCATGAATTATTGAACTCGAGCTTTGGTCGGAGCATTCCATCGAAAAGGGGAATCTTTATGGAGATATGATGATCGGAGATCACTGACCGATTCATACAAGGCCATACGACGCTGTTCAAATTCCTCGTTGGGCCTTGCCGGCTCGGCAAAGTTGACAAAGGATTAACTCTGCCGTGTAAAACTCATGTAAGTAGATCCTGGGCTTCCCACGCGAACTCTCCTGTACTCGATCGGTCTATGATAGACCGCCTATCGCCCTACCACAAGACATGATAATCATTTGAACTCAGAGTCCAAAGACATCGAAAGTCACTGAGAACAGACAACAAAAAGCAGAACCAAGGGGGAACTGTGCGGTTGAATCCAACTTGGCGGTATGCGGCCTTGATAAAACTCTCGCCGGACAGGAATCATCACAAAGTTGTGGCGAAAGCCTGTCACAAAACCAGATTTGAACAAATCACCTGGCGATATTCGACTCCGACTCGGGAATCGGAGGACCAGGTTTCACCAACTCGCCAAGCTTGGTGATCTCGGGTCCTAATGAACTCTCGCCAACATGCTCAATCATGAGATACGACCGCTTCTGGACCATATTTCGCCTCTTTGGCGTCGACACCTAACGAATTTCCCCGATATGTGGCGGAAACTGGTTGAGGTAATCCGTAGTTTCGTTCGCCCAAATGATCTATTCCGTTCTGTGCGCACGGTTACAGCAAGTTGGTATTGGTGTAACATGCCAGTGGCTCAGATATTGCTATAAAACTTGGTGAACTTATCGGTATTCGCCAAGTACGTGTCGTAAAACGCCGATATCTTGGTATAATCATTTGTTTATGAAGATTACACCATCTTTGGCGATATCCGCCTTTTATCGATCACGGTTGGTATATTCCCGAGTCGGAGTCGAATATCGCCAGGTGATTTGTTCAAATCTGGTTTTGTGACAGGCTTTCGCCACAACTTTGTGATGATTCCTGTCCGGCGAGAGTTTTATCAAGGCCGCATACCGCCAAGTTGGATTCAACCGCACAGTTCCCCCTTGGTTCTGCTTTTTGTTGTCTGTTCTCAGTGACTTTCGATGTCTTTGGACTCTGAGTTCAAATGATTATCATGTCTTGTGGTAGGGCGATAGGCGGTCTATCATAGACCGATCGAGTACAGGAGAGTTCGCGTGGGAAGCCCAGGATCTACTTACATGAGTTTTACACGGCAGAGTTAATCCTTTGTCAACTTTGCCGAGCCGGCAAGGCCCAACGAGGAATTTGAACAGCGTCGTATGGCCTTGTATGAATCGGTCAGTGATCTCCGATCATCATATCTCCATAAAGATTCCCCTTTTCGATGGAATGCTCCGACCAAAGCTCGAGTTCAATAATTCATGGCTGAATAAGGCTCCGACCAAGGCTCCGACCAAGAAGCAGCTCAGGCTTATTTGGAGAGACTGCGGCAGCACTTGAAGGAGGTTCAAGAAATTGGGTCACAATACATCAAACAGGTGGCAGGGAAGCGAGCGCTGAAACATAGAGAGGATATGGAGCCTGAAGAGGTGTTTCAGGTAGGTTGTCCTAACAGGATAGTATCCTAGTGCTGGTGACTTGAGTTCAGGTGGGCGACAAAGTTGCCTTTAAAAGAGACTCTTCGGCCACAGTACATAGCTCTAAGTTCCAGAAGCGCAAGTTCCATGGGGTGTATCTAGTGACCAAGGTGTTGTCCCCAACCAGTTACCGGTTACTAGTTACCGTTACCTGGTTACCCCATTACCAGTCGTTGCGTCCCGAAACGACCTTATTGGTGACAGCGCAACAATTGCCGTAAGATACCGTGAACGTAGTGAACAGCTAAACGAAGCCTAGAGAATAACCAGTTCTTGTTCCCCTTTAAAACGTGTTTTTTACACTACCCAGTTCTTGTGTTATCTCGGAAACTGCTCCAGCACTCAGCATAGCCCCACGAGGCTCGCTTTCTGCCGATTAACGGACAGAGGTCCTCTTCACCTTCAACTACCAACTCCTCACCATCACGGTCTCCTCGAAGACGATACAGGTAAAGATCGTCTTCTCCGGCATACCAGTCGTCCTCAACACTGACGACCGAATACTCCTGACGAACTTGGCGGTCGAGAGAAGTTCGACCAAACGAACACCTTGTCTCCGGGGACTATTGACATGTGATTAACACAAGGATTCTGAATTCCGAGTCAACACTACCATCAAAAAAACAACACCAACTGATGAGATTAACTCACTCGCCTTTCCTCAGCCTTGAAAGGCCATTGCCTTATTCAAGGCTCTCCATCCTCCCTTCGGAGCTTGATGCGCATCCGCTCGTTGTGCTTATTCACTGAGGAATCCTCAGTTGATGAATAAAAAATCGTACATGTGAACGGCGATGACCCACGAGACACTTCAGGTCACTGTGCACTACACAGTGTGCAGCGCCTCGGCAGCGTTGTTTGTTCTATGTCGCATGCCTGCTGGAGCCGACCAGTATAATATACCGATACGATCGGTCCGATAGGATATAAGAGACCAATTGAAACCGAGAGATTCTACACCTGAGAGAAGCAGAGCGACCTCAGATCGCGTCCAGAAATTGTAGCACCTCATACTCCCGACCGCAAAGCGGCCGGAGTAGTAAGCAAGTAATTCACGGCGTGAATTGGCCCCTCGCTCCATTACCATCATCTATTGAAGTGAACCAACGTTGAGACTTGATATAATGATCTTGTACAAACTCCAATGACTAGTGTATGACCTCACCCTCGGAGACACTGGCTAGAAGGGGGTCTCGTTCTCGAAAGACAAGACCAGCGCAAACTAACATTATCAAACTATCACTAGGCCGCCCCCTGGTCTGCAGCCGCGTGGCCTTTTGTTAGACTACATGATAACCGGTCACAATATTAGATGGGCAGGCTGAGGTATGCATAGTTCCTTGAAGGCACATTACGTCGGGGCATACTAGATGATGAGAGATGATGAAGAAAAGCCACATATAATATATGTCATATATTAAGGGACATGATCGTATACGAGTCGTATAATACGACCTTCTCCGTTTCCGAAGAGGCCTGCCTGCTGGACGACGTCTCCTTCTGCAAAGCCTCCCCCGTATACGTGCCAGACGAGGGCTAACAAGGGTAGGTCTTCGCCTTCGGTTGCCCGAATTTCGAGTCACCTTACGGTGGCCTCTACCACGCGACGTAGACGCATTCGGGTTCATGTGGGAGTGCTGGACACCACCGATTTGGTGGCACCAAAACAGGCATGTGCTCATGCGTGCCCCATAAAAATGAGTCGATAGCCAGGGCGCGCGCTGGTCGACCCATATCTCGCAACCCTAAAATCACCTACTTGGCAATTCTTGTGCAGAAGACCAACTTGGCGGGAGCTGTCTATGTGCAGTTATTGCCAATACTGAAGTTGGCGGAATGAGAACAACACGCAGATTACTGCACATCTGTTGAATTTTGCAGAATCCACCAAATCTTAGTCCAAATCAGTTGTAGAGTAACGTATTTCATCACATTGTTGTAATCTGTTCCAACACTGGTATCACCTATAATTCCTGTCATTAGGCCTGCGAATCTGTTTGGCGTCATTTTGGCGATTTCTGAGTTGGCGAAATCTGATACAGCCCTGAGGTTGCTGAAGTAAAAAGCGCGCGCCCAAACGCAATTTGGTGGTTCGAAGTCGAACTTGAATACGAAATTCGATGCTAATTTACAGCATGGTTTTTTGCCCGACGGTTTGGTAATTTTCCCACGTTTTTCGGAACCTTTTTTCGAGTGAGTCATCCGAGATTTTACCCAAGTAGCTGATCGTTTTGGAATCGTACGGGCCTCTATTTACGACACTAGTTAGAATACGAAAAAAGGATTGAGATGCTTATAGGTGTTGTCCTATTGGTGGAATCAAACACGATCATCATCAACTCCGCTTCGTCGAGTGAGCTATTGGTTATGTAATTAGTTCTATCACGGATTGTGAGAGGCTACAACGGGTAAGGTGGTGGTCTTGGACAGAAAAGTCATCGGCTGCTCGTTAGGAGGGGGAGGGGCCCATGAACGGGAGTGAGGGGCGCTATGGGGGCTCCTAGGTTGCTACCGATCGACGACCACGTGTCTTCTGTCTTCGTGAGTGAAGTTTGTCAGAGTACGTTAGGTCTGTGCCGTGGAAGCCAGTGGAGGTCTGTCCGTACTCTCATGTACGCTGCAATGCATTGAGGCGTTCGTGTCTGCGTTGACCACATCGCATGTGCCGCGGAATCCGCTAGTAATTTCCACTAGGCATTAGCAATTTAGGGCTAGAACCTAGCCGGCTCGAATATGGAAGTACATGCAGAGGCCTTTGTGATGGGCCGTAGTGGATTTACATGAGTACATTCCGTCACGGTATTCGCAACAGTATGTGTTGTGATGATGAAGAACTCGAGGAGTGGTAAGGAAAATGCCCTGTGCAGTTTATTGAGATGTCTACTGCTCTGAAGGACACCTTCACAGTGATATCATCGGCCCTCCAAGATGGGTACTCAGTGCAGGTTGGTGACATCACCACTGAGTTGCCAGGCATGAGCTTGGACACTGCCCGGAAGTGCCTCTTTGCCTATGCTAAGAAGCATAGCCGTGATGTTGAGGTGAGCCGCTCAGGTTCGATCCCTGGGGCGGGTATTTTTCCCCACCGTAGGTGGACTTTTGTATTCTGGGCACCATCGGGATGGGTAACACTGACATGGTCATCGTAACTGGCAAGGAAGGACTGGACCAGGCCTCGTTGAAGTTCGACCGAGTGAGCTGATCTCGAGTTCCCTAGAGTACCTTCTACCTCTGTAGATTTTGACGCGGTACGTGTATAGGCTCCGAGCAGTGGGAAAGGAGTCACATTACAGGTTAGGAATGCGGATAACAGTTGGTCGGCTTAGGCGTGCCCTCAGCCCCCACGCGTTGGCACCAACAGTGTTGCATGCTACGACCAGCGATAAGTGCAGGGAGATAGTCACGGATGTGAAACAGATAGCGCCGAAAGTACACGGCGTGGTGAAGTTCCTCCTTTTTCCTATGTGGAAGTCGATAGCAGTGTGGAAATATATGTTAGGTTCATTATGAAAACTCGCACACGATTTTTGGTATAAAATGTATAACGATAATTTCCCGAAATTTCATCAGGATTTTCATATTGTTACCACAACATGCAGTTGACTATGTGCGTATATTCCCGCACCGGTTCCTTAACGCGAGTTGATATGTATGGTGACACGATGGTAGGTACATGAGGTCCCGCTTAGTGCGACGCAGATAGAGATCACTAAGGCTCAGGAGAAGGCCAATCCTTTAGCGGCTATGTTTGCTAAGGCTGCTCAGAAAAAGGCGGCGAAGGAGTACCACTCCAATAGTAATTCATTATTGATTTGGTGTATGTGCTTCAGGAAAGACGCCCGAGACGAGAAGTTGGTATCAAAAGAGAAACCCAAGAGTCCTGCTAGGGCAAAGGCCTCTAAGACGGCTCGGGGGAAAGCGAATCCGAAGACTAAGTTGACGGCGACGACACCAAAGAAAGTGTCCCCGTCGAGGTTGGTCAGTGTGTGTCTTGCTCGTTGGTGATTCGGTGCCTGTCAGGTCGCCGATGGAGACAGATGAGGAGGAGGAGGATGAGGATGACATTATGGTGATGCCCAAGAGGAAACGTAGGGGTGATACTATGGCGAAGCGACAGCGAGAGGCGACCCCTGAGAAAAAGAAGGTGGAGGAGCCCAAGGCCCCCTCAGTCTCAGCTGGTAGGTGGCGGTTGGAGAGTACGCATGGTGGTACGGCCGTATCAGGTCTCTTCGGGGAAGATGACGAGGAGGAGAAAGAGACAGGGGAGCGACCTGGTGATGGTAGGCTGGGACTTTCCACTATATTCGGTGTAATTACTGTTGGGCTGTCTACGTCAATACGGATTGGGGGTCAGCTGAGACTGTCATGGAGCTGTTGGTGTTTCAGAAAATTCCAGTCTTGAGCATAACGGTGGTGATACTATCGAAGTGAAACGACGCAAGTGAGGGTTACTTTTTTTCCGAATGGACCCTGGAGGGCTGTTCTCTTTGTCTCTAGGAAGACCACCGAGACGAATTTCTCGCTGGGAGAAGGGGGGTATATGGAGGTTCAGGACGTGGTGGGTTTCAAGGAGGTCACAGAAACTGTGAAGAGGGCAGCGCCAGTAGCTGCCAAACCCAAGGCCAAATCTGTGAGTTTATCATTGAGTTCTGCTGGGCTCCACTCCTTTTCAGGGAGCCTCGGGACTGGCCCGTGGCACTAAGCGTGGCGGTGGTGGTAATGCGGCGTCTCACAGCCACCAAACGAAGCTGACTAGTTTCTTTACGAAGAAAAACTAGATAGAAATCATTAATCACATTGCAAGCCTCTATTATACTATGGCCTGGTGTTGAGCATATTGCAGTGTAAAGGCCTATGTGTCGAGTCCAATGTCAAGGGACTCCCTGAGGGTATTGTGTTCTTCACGGGTGTAACATCGTGGTGCTGGGAGTTACACGTGCATGATTGTTCGTCAAGTCTCCTCGGCACCGTTACGGGTCATGACCCTACATTATCATGTGTGGGCTATCATTTCCCACGCCTTTCGGGTGCCCAACTCGTACAGCCTGTTTGAGAGTCCACCTTCAAAGGGGCGGAGAGGAAGGGAGTCCCTTGAAGGGACTTGTCTTGACGAGAGCATCCCCGTGTGTCACCGACCACAGTAGAGCCCTGAGGGGAAACGCTGCCTTTTGAGGCACCCTCTGTGTGAGCCCTTGAGGCCATCAGTATAGGAAGTGCATGTCGTCCTCGTCCTTCCCTGTTTCACATAACGGACAGACGGCGGACCCCTATCAACCCGGCAATGTGAGTATCATCGAATGGTTGAGGGCGCGCGCTTTTTACATTGAGGTCATGGGCCACTACAAATCATCACAATTTGGAGGGTGAGGGAATTCCTCATAGTAGCCTATCACGGCTCACCTCGTAACGATAGTGAAGATATGCTATTCGATGGCAGCATCCGGTCAGTTTTTGTTGTTGTAATTGCGGCTTCAATAGTAGCGCTATGTCCGCCCTCCCCGTCCGTGTTGCTCATGCCTGGGCCATAGTTTGGTTGGACTTGTACCAGGTGAAACTGACTTCTGGGTGTGTCTCGTCACATTGCTTTACCCTTTCAGACGCCTTGTCTCATCACAGAGGGGTTTACTGATGGTATCAAGGGCATGTTCAGGGAGATAGGCAGGGGCAAGCAGGAGTATCCGTTCAACCCATGTAGGATTCCAATGCCCTTCCTGGGGTGCGATTTTGGTGTTGCTCAGTGAACCCCGCGACTGCCACAACGAACCGCTTGGGTCGGAAAAAGAAGTACTGCAACGACAAGAATTCTTTCCGCTTTGGAGTGGCCTATTAGGAGGAGTGCTCGGCGTTGGACAGTTTGGCGATCATCGAGTAGGTTAATCGCTGAGTCTGTTGTTGTGTTATTATTGAGCCTGAAGGGGCCTCTCGTAAAACAGTTTTTTTCGAATGGAAATGACTTCGTCATTTTTTGAACGGCTCGCTGAAAGATGCAAAGCTAAGAATTCTCTGCTGTGCGTGGGCTTGGACCCGCACATTTCGGAGTTGCCCGAGCCCACTGCCGAGGCGGCTTATAAGTTTTGTGAAAACCTGGTGGAGCTCACGAAGGATGTTGCGGGTAGGCAGAGGTCTGATGTGGACCTGTTTTGAATCTTTGTCGAAAGGAACCTAGGATATCTTTTTTCAGTGGCCTACAAGCCCAATGCTGCTTTCTTTGAGCAGTTTGGCGCCGCTGGGTGGCAACAGTTGGAGCGCCTCATAGCTCACGTTAAGACCAGTACTAAGAAGACAGCGTTAGTGGTAGGGCAGTGTGCACGATTTGGCCGTGATGTGGTATGGCAGATCCTTGATGCCAAACGTGGCGACATCGGGAGTACAGCTGAGGCCTATGCTAAGAGCGCCTATGAAGTGTTGGGCGCTGACAGTATCACAGTGAACCCGTAGGGGCAGAGGTGGTTGTGACTTGTTAGAGTTCGATGTGAGGTACATGGGGAAGGACAGCATGCAACCCTTCTTGGCTGACCAGACTAAGGGTGTATGGGCTCTCTGCAAGACTAGCAATAAGGGGAGTGATGATATACAGACATGCACTCTAGGTGAGCTGGGTTGGGCTTGGGCACACCGCAGTGGAGATATGAGTGTCGAACTAATCTTTATAGTGATTGATTTTTCATGAGGGAATATTCAGCGAAGGTTAGAAGGTGCAGTTGGTAGGTGATGGTCGTCCTGTGTACCTCCACGTGGCCCAAGTGGCCCTGGAGTCAACGGAGCGTGGTCCGGATAGTGTTGGTCTGGTCGTTGGGGCCACTGATATCGATGCTATGAGGAGGCTCAGGCAGGGTCTGCCCTCTGGGGTTTGGATTCTGGCTCCTGGAATCGGGGCGCAGGTAAGGAGGCAATCCCACTTCACTTTAAGAGGGGTTTCGTCGGTTTTAGGGCGGCGACTTGGAAGCGGCCGTAGAGGCTGGTCTGGACCTACACACGGGGATGGGCATCCTCTTCCCTGTTAGTCGGGGTATCTCTAGGGCCGCGGATCCGAGGGCAGCGGCGATGGAACTAAATCGCCTTATCAACGAGGCTAGGGCTAGGGTGATGCCATGATGTTAGTCGCTAGTTCATAACGATGGTTTCAACAAGTCCAGCGGTTGTTTGGTGTGAATTCACTGCTTGGACTTGTTTTCTTGGAGTAGGATTTTTATCATGTCGCCAGCTGGTGCGAACCGGCCTAGAATAGTATTGGTCCCGGGGAACGGTGGGGGTGGAGACATTCGGCCGGCCAACTTTTATGGATGGCTCGAGAGGCAAATGCTGGACAAGGGGTAGGTGGGGTCGCCGATGGTCCACCTGTATGGGTGTAGTGGCGGCCTAAGGTACGAGGTGCGGCTTCCGGAGGGGGGCATGCCTGATCCTGTGAGGGCCCGGAGGTCCATTTGGATACCGTATGAGACCGCCTCGATATGTCTTGAGGAGAGAGGATGGTAGGTATATACGTGACACGTTGAAATGTGACGAGGGTGTGGTATTGGTTGGGCATTCTTCGGGAGCAGTTGCGGCATTGCGTATAGCAGAGGAGCAGAAGCTGCGAGTAGGGGGCCTCTTTTTTGAGCGGAGCGAAGCACGATGTTAGCAGGGTGTGGTATTGATTGCTGTCTACGATGACCCTTTGGGAGATGACATGGAGGCGGCTAGTGGGTACTTTGATGGTCCTTTCGATTGGTCGGCCATACAGGATAACTGTGGCTTCATTGTGAGCTCCTTGAGATGTGGTATTTGGCGATGGAGTGGTATGTAATTCGAGGTCCAAATTGGTGGTACTGAGGATACGCTTGTCCCCATAGACATACAGAGGCGTGTAGCTGGCAAGCTGCGGCCCAAAGTGGAGTAGGAGTGATCTTTATCAACGGTTCTGAGCAGTGTTGGAATATATGTGTTCGCTCTCCCCAGCTGAGCTCAGGAGTTTTCTCACTAAATATAGGAGTCTACGTACGAATTTGAAACCGAAATCAACAGAAGCCAATGAGAATTCTCCTAAAATTCCTAGAAATTTTCATATTATCACCGGTACATGGAGTTGGGCATGTGCATATTTGTTCACACCGGGTCTGGGGGGCGTTCGTAGGTATGTAGAGATACCAGGCGAGGACCATTTCTTCACACCGCCGTTTCCAGCTCTGGTCGATGCTATCACGAGGCACTGTTGAAATTGAGTTTCCCTTATGCAAGACCTTGCGCTAGGGCGTCGGTTTGGGAGCAGAGTTCTGAGCAGCGCGACGTTGTCCTCGGATGCCCTTGCCTCCTCCTGTGGCCGCTCTGTCTTCTGACAACGGTATGGCATGGGGTGTACGATCGGGTCGTTGGTGACCTTCTCGTTAGGATGCCTGATACCTCCAGCACCCGAGGAGGCTCCAGCGAGGGTGAGTCGAGTGCCGACTCCGATGCAGCCCCCGCCCCCACCGCCGCCGCCCTCGCGGTCATTGAAGAGGCCCCGACCAGATGGGCAGGAGCAGGGCAGGCAGGCCCGGGATGAGCTGGAGAATAGGTGGGGTGGGGTGGGGCCTGGAGGGGAGGGCCGTTGGGCAGGTACGAGCTGTGTGAGAAGCTTGGGGAGGGGACGTATGGGAAAGTGTATAGAGGCATGGACAAGGTCACGAGGGAACCGGTGGCCATCAAACGCATGAAGTGAGGCCACCGTCACTGCGCCACGAAATTATCATGGCCAGGATCAATCTGGAAGATGAAGGTTGCCCTTCCTTGGCCATCCGAGAGATCGCACTATTGCGAAAAATAAAGTCGGCTAACGTAGTCTCCCTACTACATGTGGGTCGCCTGGGGTTGCCCGGTGGTGTGGTTTGAAGCGCTGGCCAGATTCATGTGGACCGCTGCAGTAGCTCCCCATGGGACTCCTTGACGTTGGTCTTCGAACTCCTCACTTATGACCTACGGCAGTTTATAAAGATGAATTGTGAGTTGCCCTTGGGGAAGAGGCTTTGGGCAGGAGTGCTCGGCAGCTATCCCATCGGCGCCGTGCTTGAAGTACTTCATATACCAAATCTTGCGAGGAGTGAAGGCCTGTCATGACCTGCGCATAATGCATAGGGATATAAAACCGCAGAATCTACTCATATCTCAGACAACAGGTGATACGGAAGAGGGTGGAGTGTATTCAGGTTGGAGTGGTATGAGTAGCAGTGATGGGCTCGCATTGTGTAGGACGGATCAAGCTGGCCGACTTCGGCTTAGCGAGGAGTTACATGCATCCGACGCATAGATGTACTCACGAGATCGTCACGTTGTGGTATCGGGCCCCAGAGGTCATCATGGTAAGCTGCTCGGCTTGGACCACGATCGAGCCATAGTGAGCGCTGTGCCCCTAGGGGTCGTTGGAGTACACCTACAGCATAGATGTATGGTCCATTGGATGTGTCATGGCTGAGCTCTTTACGGGAGGTTGGTCCTCTGCGGTAGAATGGTGTACACGATGGTCACTAGGGAGTCCGCTCTTTCCGACGGATTCGGAGGTCGAGACGTTGTTCCGGATCTTCCGTATGTTGGGCACTCCCACACCCGAGACGTGGCCTGGCATTGTGAGTAACTTCCCTACTACTACTACTTGACATAGAGGTGGTAGGTCGAGACGTGTCCAGACTATTGCGAGTTGTGGCCTAAGTGGAAAGAGGACCGCGGGCTTCAGACCATGCAACAACGGAACTCAGAGGTAATCGACTACTCTAGAGAGGCATTGAATCGGCCATAGATACCGGACTGGTTGAACGAGCTGGCGTTGTCTTGTCTGAGGGTGACCCCAACGGCTAGGGCCAGTGTGGCTGGTCTCATGGCACATGTAAGCTGCTCATGCCTCCCGATCGCACTTCCTTGTCAGCCTTGGTTCAAGGATGTTGACGATGCATGGGTTGCAGGGTAGGCCTTGTTGTTTATGCCCCGCCACTGTTCAATCCGTGTTAGGGAATTCTTCGTTTGCCCCGGACTGCATTCGGACTCCCAGCCCATCAAGGACGAGGCCGAGCCGTTGTAGTGGATGCCCTGAATGCTCGCCCTATTGGGTCCTCTGTTCACTGTTGCCCGTCGACTAGGTTACTGAATCTCTGTTGTTGACTAAGTTACTACTACTTCCCCTGTGGTTCCTATTGGAGCCAGTGTGGCCATGCATATCATCTCACTGAGTGACCTACTCGGTTTCACACTTGCCAGCGTCTCGTTGTGTTATTCCTAGTGGTGGTGGTATTAGCGAGGGTAGTTGTGTTTTACTGTCCTGTTTTCTCTATGACATTTCATCGCATCGCCGTAGTGGCCGCTTTGTTGGTCGTTTCCGTTGCTACGTCGTCTTCGCGACCGTTGAAGCGCATAGTGGCCGTAGCAGATGTTCATGGTGATCGACGTAACTTGATGCAGGCCCTTGAGTAGGCCCAATGGGGATCACTGGAAGTCGACTATGTGTCCCTCAGGAATGGCCGGGTACTGGTGCACAAGCATGGTCCCGAGCAGGAGGGAGTTGAATGGCATCCAGAAGCCTCAGACCCTGCAGAGCCTGTTATGGTAGGGGGTCCTTGGTAATGGTATGCTGTAGGAAGGCACTCAGGTGGTTCAACTAGGGGACTTGGTCGATCGAGGGCCGCTTGGTCTGCAGTGCTATCGTCTCATGCAAGATCTGTACGTGGCCGAGGGGGCCAATGAGGTGGTCCGAGTGCTGGGTAGTACTAGTAGTAGGTGGGCTTATCTTCATGAGGTGGACGCTACTGTTGCGGTGTAGGAGAATATGCACATGGGCAACTACATGTGTTGATGACAATGTGGAAATTCTGAGGAAATTTCGGGAATTTACTGTTGGTTTGTATACAGTTCTATTCGAATTCGTGTGTAAACCCGTATAGCTAATGAGAAAACTCCCGAGCTTAGCTGAGGAAAGCGAACATATATTTCAATACTGAAGTTTCGCTCGTTTTACACGAAATGGCGTGATACTCGGGGAAAAACGCGATATTCGCTGTGATATGCAAGAGTCGTAAAATATATTTTTCACTAGGGTTTTTCATATCACTAGGGTGAAACTCGACTACACTGTTCGCCCAGGCAATCACGAAGTCCTCAATTTGCTGGGCATGGCCGGCCGGTATGTGACTGATGAGGATGTCGCCGAATTCGGCGGGGAGGAGGCCAGGAGGGAGAGTTGGTCCCCCGGTGGTGAGATCTGGACCATCCTCAAAGACCACTACGAGTTGGTCCACGTTTATGGAGGTCATAGGTCTGGTCTGGGGTGTGTAACTGTACTCTATGGGCAGGCTCGTTCACGTCCAAGTACAGTAGTGGTAAACTCCCTGAGCTCCTACCCCTGGACAGAGCTGACACCCTGTACGGTTGTTGTTGGTTTCTCAAGGGGAGGGGTTTGATACGTGGTCAGGTTCGTCCACGGCGGTGTGATGCCGGCCTTGACCGACCGCTCGATCGACGAGTTGAATGAGCAGGCTTCTAGGATGATCAAAAATGGGGCTCTCAAGAACCCTCTACTACTGTCGGAGTCCAGCCCTTTGTGGTCCCGAGTAAGTATGTGCCAGCCACGCAGTGCTGCAAGTTTGGAATTGCAGTCAACTCACTTACTTCACTGATTGCATGCAACGCTCCGCTCACAGGTATACGCCTTGGGTACGGACGAAGAGGCGTGCCCACCGTTACTGAATGTCCTGCGGCATTACGGTGTGGCCCGAATGGTCGTAGGTCACACCCCTAGTGAGGATGGTCGGATGAAGGTACGCTGTGGAGGAAGGGCCATCCTCGCTGATGTCGGTAGGCCCTCCAAGACCATGTAAAAGTTATTACTGTTTGCTCCTTAGCCCTGTCACGGTGGATGGGTCGGTACCCTCATCATGGTCACCCTGCGGCCCTGGAGATGACGCTGGTAAACGCGACACACTTGGAGAAGATAGAAGGTACCCACACGTCCTTTTGCAGTGGAAACAGTACGGGTTCTCAGCTCATTATGGTCCAGAGAACGACACTGGTGCAGGCCAGCACCAGCTACTGTGGACCAACACGGACGGCCTCATTGAAGTGGGCAAGGTAACGTCCTACGGCTGAGTGGAGGTGTGTGCTTTCAGGATGAGTTTGCTGATTCGGACGAGGATGAGCTGTGATGATAATAAACAATCTACTGCAATTCGCATTTCTTTATCGCGTTTCGTGCTGTACTCCGGCCCATGTTGAGTTGACGAGAGTGTGGTACGGTTGCATAGGTCTGTGTCAGGATTTCCCTGCGAGTCTTGCCGAACCGTCTCCTTAATTTGAGCTGCCACCATCTACTAAAATAACAGCCAATTCGTTGCGGAGTATGTTTACGTATAGAGGGCGAGGACTTGCCATGGTAGCGATACTTCTCTGCCTGGTACTCTTCATAACGTCAACCTCCTGGATGTACAACCCACTAGATGCGAAGGGTGTCTATAAGGCGAGACAACATGATAACTACATGGAGGCTTCGGGAGAGTACTTTGCTACCAAGCCCACGATGGTTGTGATGACGGTACAACGCAAGGAGCCCTACATACAGGCCTTCCTCTGGTCCTTCCTGGCATTCAATGCGGATCCTCGTCCGCACCTTTTTATCATTAATAGGGAGGACAGTGACTTGCCCAAGGAAGTTTACGCTATGTCGGAGATTACTGTCCGGAATGCCACTCCATTCACGGCGACTGAGTACCCCCAATGGAAGCGGGCACTTTACTTGGACCACATCGATGCCTTGGACATCTGCTTGGAAGAGGACCGCCCATGGTGTTTAGTTTTCGAGGGGGATACTCTCCTCACTGTGAACTTCATGGACAAGTTTATGCGGTTTGTCTCACATGAGAAGAATGTGGCCATGGTGAAGCTGTTTGTATCGGACCATTGGTCAGGATGGAGCGCTGCTGATACCCCACTGTTCGTGTTCGTGGTCCTGGCAGTCGCTGTGTCTGTCGCATTTTATCTGCGGCGTAGGGCTCCTTTGCTTTCATGGAAAGAACGTTACTCCTATGGCATTGTCGCAGGACTGCTTGTAATTTGTATACTATTAGTTGTTTCTAAGCAGACTTTCGATAGAATCCTTTTCATAGGGTCAGACGTGAAGCTTGTACCCACAACGGTTGAGGCAAGTTCAGTTGCTACTGCCTATCCCCGGGAATCTGTGAAGCCTCTGAGGGATCATCTGCAGGCATATATAAACCGGGAGAGCGATCCACAAGGACTGGACTTGGAGCAATATGAATGGGCTCGGGGCCACGGCCGAGTCCTACGAACGTACCCGTCGTTGGTACAGCATATTGGAGTCTATTCTAGTGCGAAGTTGAAAAACCAGGGAGATTTTTTACAAGTTAAACAAGACTCCACATTCATTGGTCCATTGTATCCGTAGTTGTTAACATTTATTGTACCATCATCACTGAATATGCATCGACATGTGTGGTTTTGGGTTAGTCACTGGGAACTACTATCGAATGTTTACTGAGCTGCCCATAAGAGTGAACACTGGGGGAACGCAGTAGTGAAACTGAAGGGGACGAAAGAGTGTCCGCCGATTGAAGTGACTTGTGGGTGTTGATGAGATACGGCAGAAAATTTGGTAACCAGAACTAAAACACACTCCTGCGATGGTGATACGGAGCTCGAATTGTGCAGATCTTCATCTCTAAAAAGCTGGAGAAGCAGGCACTATGTATGTCATATACATAGTGCCTGCTTCAATCATATACAATCATATTCAATCATACACCGATCATATACAGTATATGATCGATCGTAGACTATGACTCGTAGTTCCAGTGGAGAGATCTGGTGTTGAAATCAGAGAGCACTGAGCATGTTGTCATTTGCAAATGTTTTTGATCAGGATCGAGCAGACATGCCTGATCATCACGCGATAAGAAAAGCGCACTCTGCGCTATTTCCTGTTTTTGGCGTCTTAAGGGTTCCGGCACGAGACTCGGTACGTGGAACTATCTGGTACACTCCGAATGACATTCTTCTCTTGCTTGATACGATTGCCCTGGAGTATTGGGCCTGTTTGCTAAGATACTGCAGTTGAGCGCCTACAACTGTGATGCGTTGTTGCACAAATGGTAGACAGAGCTACGCTGCAGTCATAGCCCGAGCACCCATGATGACTCAGAGTACCAACCTCATCATTAAGGATTTTTACTAAAGATGTCGACCACTTCTACCCCCGCTTCTAGACACAACATCTCTCCCTATGCCCAAGCCTTGTCTTGTGACCATTACTATCATCTTGGTCTCGATACCGACATGGACCTTCAGGCCCTCTTCGGTGATGTCAAGTACTTCGTTATGATGGGCTCTCCTGCCCGTGCTGAGACCTTCGCTGAGGTCATGGCCAACGCCTTTGTGGAGCAGGGCCTCCCTAAGCCTACTGTTATGCGTCTTGGTAAGACTGAGCGTTACAGCATGTTCAAGTGTGGGTCTGTGATCTCCGTGTCCCACGGTATGGGTGGTCCCTCTCTTCATATCCTCATGAACGAAGTTGCCAAGTTGTGTAATCATGTTGGTATCATCGATACCGTCAGGTGGATCCGTCTTGGTACCTCTGGTGGCTGTGGTGTTGCTCCCGGAACCGTGGTATGCACCACTCAGGCCATCAATGATGAGATTAAGCCCTGCTGGAGAACTGTGCAGCTCGGTAAGGTCTTCGAGATCCCCACTGATGTTCTCGATATGCAGTTTGTCGATGATATCATCGCCAGTGCCCCTGAGGATATTCCTGTCGTGAAGGGTAAGACCATGGCTGCTGATGATTTCTTCGAGGGTCAGGGCCGTACTGATGGTGCTCTCACCCCCTGGTATACTGAGGAGGATAAGATTAACTTCCTTCATCGTCTACATGATGCTGGTGTCCGTAACATCGAGATGGAGAGTGTCGCTCTTATGGGTTTCTGCCAGCGTGCCAAGATCCCCGCTGCTTGCGTATGTGTGACCTTGGTTAACAGGTTGGAAGGTGATCAGATTACCTCTACTAAGAGGCAACTCGCCAAGTACAACGAGTACTCCATTCGTGTGGTCAGCAACTTCATTGCCACCACTCAGGCTAAGACTGCTCATTAAATGATGCTATCTAGTTTTTCTCGCGTGGGAACGTGTGTTCCCATGAAATCGTAGTTTCTGTTTAGTGAATTTATCGCGAATTGAACAGTTCTGAGTTATAGTATTCAATGAATTATTGACAATGATAGAAGGTTAGTTCGTTTCGTCTTTCTCTGGAGAATCCCCTGAACAAAACTCCACTCATATGTGGTCCACAATGTAATACAATACGGCAATCTCACTTTTTTGCTAATATTGCGGATCTGCCAAATTCAATAATTTCCGACAGTCTCACTCATTTGCTCCTGTGCACATACTACCCTGGCAGTTAAGAAGTAGCAACCACATGTACACCCCAGAAATAACCACACCTTTCCCCGTGCAAGTTTGGCAAGTGAGCAGACAAGAATCACAATGTTACCATCAAGAGTGACAATGAGAATCCAAGTTTGTCACAATTCAAGTCTGTTACAATCAAGTTTGACTTTGAGAATTCAAGTATGTCACAATCGAGATATGTTACCATCAAGATTGACAATGAAAATCCAAGCTTGTCAAAGTTCAATTGTGTTACAATCAAGATTGACAGTGAGAATCCATGTTTGACACCGGCAGAATATATCACAATCAAGAATGACAATAAACCATACAAGTTTGACAATACGCACACAAGTTTGACAAAACGCATCCAAGTTTGACACTTCAACTCGAAATGTTGACATACGGTTTAAACTGATTGCCCACTTAAAAAATCACACGCATTACATAGTGAGGACGCAAAAGGTCAATTCCAAGCAAAAATTCACTAAAATCCCAGGCTCTCGTCCGCGACCTTGCTTAGCACTGGGGAAAGAGCTCGAGTCGCGAATCGATCAGCCAGGGAGAAAACGTTCCTACCAGGCAAGCCCCTGGGTGGGACGGGTGGGTCGACAACATTTTCCAGACACCCAACACCACAATGCTGGACACCAACTCGCTTCGATGAGCACACGGGTGACGCGGTTTGTCTTACACGTACGTACAAAGCTGATTCGCGCATCTGACTGCCTTGGACTTTCCCTCGACACACAAAGTGTATAAAGCACTTAAATTCACTTAAATAAGGGATGCAGGACTACATGTGCTGTTCATGTCATCATTTGCCACACTGGGACCAACATACGAGTCTCGATTGAATCGTTACCCCCTGAGGCCGAACTGACTCATACACAAATCATATAAATGGTATGATACCGAATCGAATTTTATCGAGATGGCAGTTGAGGATAAGTATCACAATGATCAGTGAAAATTTATTGGGTCATCTACAGTATACTAGTGCGCACCTGAGAGATGGAGCGCCTTGAACAATCAATTCTTCCGTCTGCCGCTGGTCTCGCTTCCAACACTGTGCCTCTGCGAAGGCGTGAAAATGTTTGGTATGTACTCTTGAAGCTTCTCTCGCAGCTGAGCAACCAAAGAGCATTCTCGAGAAGTCCAATGACCACAACCGAGCTAGTCCTACCTGTCCCCTGAGCTCATCAGTTGTGAAGTCCTCAGCAGCTATTCCGAACGCCGCCCGGAATAGCCTCTGTAAGCCGCTCCGACGCCTGAGTGGAGCAAACTGTCCCTACCAATCAAACTATGAATATTTACCTTTCAACTGCGTCTTCTTCCCGGCTGAAAATAACTACGAATGCCGGTACTATGTCGTGGACAGCGAGCAGCTCCTTTGGTATCTCATCCAGAGGACGAGAAGGCACCGGAGGGACCCCACCCGAAAGGGTATCATACCTGTACGACGATCGAGACACAATATGATCATAATATGTAGTCCACAACTGTCACTGCACGATATGGTCAACTACATCTGTTGGTGATAATATAAAATTTCTGAGGATATTTCTTGGAAATTCTTGCTAGTTTCTGTATCCTTCTACCCGATCTCGAGTGTAAATTCTCTTAATATGGCGAGAAAACTCCCGAACTCGGCTGAGGAGAGCGAACATATATTCCAACACCGCTATTGGAAAAGCACGGATTCGTAGTTCCTCACCAGCTCCCTCCCCTGAATGGTTCATTGTAGGGCGGCGGTATTTCCTCGAGCTGGGGGTCGGCACTCTCGTCGATCTTCAGAACAGACCAAACACGCTTGAGTGCCTCCGTCTCGCTGGTGCCACTGCTCAGTGACAACGTTTTCTGAACATCTTCGATGGAAAGCAAACCATCACCATCAGCATCCAAGCTGTGCAACAACTTAACCTAAGCGACAAAGTCAACACTCACATCCAGAGCCAATCACGAGCCCCACCCAGTGGTCAACATAGTGCATGCTTATGCCAAATTCCTCATAGACTTGCTTCATCATGATCCGGTGCTGATGCACTCGCATGAAATTGTCGCGGCAAACGATCCTGAGCAGCTCGTCCTCGAAGACATAGGGCACCGGGTCCCGACTCAGGCTGTCACACATGACCGTACGAACCTAGTCAATGATGAATATACTGCTGACCAGGTCGGAGTTCAAAGACTCACGTTGCGAGCATAGAGAGATGGCTTCTCTATCTCAGAATCACTAGGAGTGATCACTGGCAGAAAACGCACAGTGTGGAAGTTGACGAACTGACAGCAAGTCCAATAGAAAACCCAGGCCATATTCTTGAGGGCGAAAACGTCATAGTGCCGCGCGGGGTACTCGAGGCCCACAGGCTGTATCTGTAGTAGAAGAACCACACGTCAGAAGCGCATACTTGAGAACTTTTGAGCTCACCGGCACGCCACAATCAAAAGCTCCCTCCTTGAACGCCGACAGCTGACGACCGTTATTGCCTAGCGGAGCGATGCAGAAAAGTAATGACAGAAAACCAAATGAACGTACATGTAGCAGTCGGGAACACTATCATTGGCGGGTACTTCGGGTCAAGCGCTCGAGCCCGCATATTCCTCTTAGCCGCGCTACGGGCTTCTGGACCTGACAACACGCAATCACTCCAGCAGGCTCATCCACTTACATCGACGATCGATAGGCATTGCATTGAGCGATCTTAGAAAGCTTCCCATCATAGGTACTTTGAACAAATCTGCTTTGGCCGCTTCGCAACAACCAGTATACACCCTGATACCAAAATCCACACCATAGTCGCCGCCAGGTGACTCTCACATGAGATAGATAGTATCCCAAATTGAGTGATGTGTACTGATGATGATCCTTGCCCGCTGGTCGTAGGACCCTTCAACGTGAACCCAATAGAAGCCGGCTAGAAACATAATCCATCTCATACCAATACGCATTAGGAAGACCTGACAATATGATGCTGATAGAAAATCACCGCCACCATGCACCTACTATAAAGCGTCTCCACCTGCTGTTGATCGGCGGCTGTAGCTCCATGGCGTCGTCGATCGGAGGCAGGCCTAGGGCGGCGATTTCCGCAAGGCCAACTCCAATACACAGTAGGAAAACCTTAAAACAACTCTTGAGGAAAGATTGACCGTTAATATACTCACAATAATAAGGATTCGCAAAGGAGCTATGAGTGTGACGGTGAAGAGGATCACTTTGAACTTCTCATATCTGGCCACGCAGAGACGGCGACTCAACAAAAGCAATATCAAGATAGCGACCGCTACGTCGTATACTCCGTCAAAGGCAGGAACGCGTTCGTATACCGCGGCCGCGTGTCGAACTCAAACGGATCCTGAGTAAAGAAAAAAACACAGTGATTCCTAGCGACATGCATAATCGGCCGTTTATGTGTATAATCGTCTCACATTAAGTTCACCAACAACGGCACTCTTGTTGTTCTCTGATACGAGACCGTTCGTGAAGGGGGATGTAGCCGCCGACGGAGCCGACATGAAGTGGAAAGCAACAACAACAACAACGTAAACCCGTGGTAGAACGCGACTCGTAGATGGTCGGCGATAAGGAACACTGTTCACCACAGGAGGAACGAAAAACATCAGCACGAGAAGAATTCGTCACTGCGCCACGAAATTATTCCTCGACTTTTGAACTTCTCACAAAATACTCGTCATTTGAGGATTCCACTGTGCTGGTCGACTCAGCGACGTGCCTCCCTACTGGAGGATCGAACAAACTCGGAATATACCGCGTTAGCACTCCTCTGATCTGAAAATGATGGTATACTAAACTCATCAAATTCCACGACCCACCGCTTCCGCCAACTCCCTTTCGTCAAGTACCGTAGCAGGGACCGGAAAATTGAATACGGAGTAGAGGAGCTCCAACGAAGGGCGATGCCTATCATCAAAGATAATAAAAATAACGCAAGTCGTCGCGAGCCGTACCGGATCCCTGAAGTAGGAGCAGTGTAGAGGACGAGCAACATCGGTATGATCTCATGAACGGCCAGGGCGTTAGGAACATACACATCTTCAGGCCGGTGCGGTACAGCTGGAATTCCTCCGAATATTTTCGAGTACCTGAAAAATACACACTGACTTTTCTGAGTAGTCCACCAACACGCCATACCATCCCTTCGTTTCATCTCCCGGAACAGACCACGGAGTGTCCCCGTTGGGATCGTCTTGCTTTAGTGTTTGAATAAGTAGATCGAGGCATCTGGCCTCGTCTGCACCCAGACGGAATTTTTCGCGCACATCTCGGGCCGACACAAAACCGTCTCCATCAACGTCTACCGAATGTAGTAGTGAAACCTGGCATGAAAAATCGCACGAAAATTTTTTTTCTTTTTTTACCCAATACTCGAGTACTCTATCACTCGTATTAAATTCTTGAAATATATCCTTCATCATGAGGCGGTGTTGACACAGATGCATCTGGTTTCTCCCACATGCATTTCGCAGCATCTCATCTTCGAATACGAAGGGCACCGCTACTCTCCCCAGCTCTCTACACATCACCTTTCTAACCTAAAAACACTCAGAAAATTACACTTGACAACATTTCAACAGAAGGCCTACCCCCTCCGCGTAAAGTGTCGGATTTTTCCTCTCAACTGGAGTCGGACTATATACGGGCAGGAACGTGATAGTCTCGTTGTTCACGAATTCACACAGGGTTCTATACAGCAGCCCTAATACGTTGTCGTCCAAATAGAGATCGTTGTAGCGGCAGGAGTATGAGATTCCAATGGGCTGAACCTATAACATAAAATTTATACCATCACTAAGTGAAGAGTGCTGGTAAACGAAGTTTCCGGAGGCTACAACAGCGTTAAAATATATGTTGGCTTTCCTCAGCTGAGCTCGGAAGTTTCCTCAATACCGCACCATGGAAAATTCAGAGTAGAAGTATGTCAAACAAACAACGATCCCCAAAATAACTATTTTATTATCACCAACACACTTCGCTGACCGAAGAGCCCCGACTACCGGTAGGCCAGTGTCAAAGGCACCCGTCTTGAACTCTGTCAACTGCCTCATGTTGTTACCTACACAGTGCATCATCTAATCGATTGAAACACAGTAAGGAAGCCTACATGTAGCCGTAGGGAACACTATAATGGGCGGGTACCTCTCATCCAATGCCCGCTCCCGCATATGCCTTCTCGCACTTTCCCGACCCAAGTCAGCTGAAATGCAACCATCGTGCCTTACAGCCAAGCTCCAACTACTATTACTACTACTACTACTACTACTACTACTACTACTATTACTACTACTACTACTACTACTACTACTACTACTACTACTACTACTACTACTACTACTACTACTACTACTACTACTACTACATCGACGGTCAATAGGTAGAGCACTTAATACTCTCAAATACGTTCCGATCAAAGGCATGTCGAATGCCTCAGCTTTAACCGCCTCACATGCGCCAGTGTAGTACCTTGGCAAAATGAGAAAGGCAGCTCCCCCTGGTGTATTACATCAGATAAAGGGTATCCCAGATGGAATGGTGAGTCGAAACAAATACCCGTGTATGTGGATCTGGCCGGCCTTCCACGTTGATCCAATAGAAACCAGCCACGAAGAGTATCACTCTCACCCAGAGTAACATGAATTTGACCTACAACACAGTGGTTGAGATTGGCCCCTAGGAAACGAGCGTTGCCTTGGACCGACTGACTCTTAGTACGTTCATTTGGGTATAATCACTGTATTACAGTATTCACATGGTCAACCACATGTGTTGGTGATAAAATGAAAATTCTGAGGGAATATTCAGAATTTCTCATTGATTCCTGTACGGATTCGTATGTAAACTCCTACTATTGCCGAGCAAACTTCTGAACTCAGCTGAGGGAAGCGAACATTTATTCCGACACTGTCTAGGTATCAGAACTTAATCCTAGTGTACTGTGCATAAATACTTTTATTCCCTCCAAAAAATTGACTCTTGTGAAATTTCCAAGCGAACAACTGTTATACAATTCGGATTTTTATATCATATAACTCACCAGCGCTTTCCGCCACCACGCTGTTATCGGAGGCTGCAGGTCTTGGACACCACTGGGCTTTGGAATGCCCGCAAGGGCCAGCTTAGCAGGGACCATACCAAGCACGCCGATCGTCAGGATAATGATAAATCGCAGTGGGGCTATACCCGATACGGTAAACAGGAAAATCTTCAATTTTTCGTATCTGCCGCAGAAAAATGTCCAAAACTGAACGAACTACTCTGAGTTCACTTCCGGGAAAAATAAGACCATGCTGAATTTATGACCATAAATTTTATTCATGTACTCATCATGGGAGTCTAACACAACGTTTTCCTCCAAAAACATCAGGAAAATTTCCAATGGATGACATCCTCGCATTTTTCATATCAGTTGATCGAAAAAATTCTATATATCACCAGAAAACATCCAGATTTTTTCGCTCGCCCGAATCTACTACTTTCCAATAGGTGTTAGTGTTTCGAAAGGGTTGTGGTATCTAGGGTGGCTAGGTAGCCTGAAAAATTGCTGATCCTCAGACGCTACAACAGAGGGCGGCTTCTCCGCATTGTTGTGGCCTTCAAGAAGGGGCTTGCTCAAATCGGTAGATATCAAAGGCATTGCAAAAAACTGAATCATTCAGACTCAGCTCGCCCCCACGTATAAGCTCAACATATTCCGAAGTACACACACTAGAAAATAATGATACGATGTAGTCTATAGCTAATTCATCAGCTACAACTGAATACAACGTTCAACCAAATCCTGCGTGCTTGCCAATTCTCACATGGTGGTGTCTCCATGTGCTTATTAGAGTTGTTAGTCATGCTAGGGAAGTTGTCCAAATCATCGTTCGATACAATCATGAGGGGGAATTCAAATTTTAGTCTTGCTCAATAGATCACCATCATGCTGCTACCACATAGTATCGAGTAAACGACCAAAGACATGAGGGTACCAATATCATCTCGCATTCCCTGGGGTATATCATGTATGCTTGGAAAAAGCCATACCATACCAAAATGACCTTCCCATGGGACCATGCTAAGTAGTGACATCCGCGCGCGCCCACCATCATCGGACATATCTTCCCTACTGCCTTTCTCGGCCATAACGACAGCAGCACGCATGCACAAACTGCATGCTCTGTATGGACAGCTATCAACAAGGACAAACGTTGGGACATCAGCTAAAAACAATAACCGTTGAAGGTTCCCAAGTTAGGGCCCCCCCAAGTAGCGGCCACAACAGCGGTGACTGTAAGCATACAGTCTTGCTAACCGTGCCAGGTCAATGAACAGCTTCGACAATATACCCCACATTCGATTTCACACATTCTTCGACGCTCCCTACAACTACCATCACAGAATGTTCACCCACCACAGAAGGCTGATCCATCAATAGAGTGTTGGCTGGGGAAGGAGTGTATGCCAACAAACCGATCAACACAGCGGCATCTAGCCCGCTCTACTGCTTAAATCAGAAACAACAAGTCATCGGCATACCACACCTCAGCGACATCTCGGACAAACGAGAGTCCCGAAGCGCCCTCATATACAACCATCCGAGATACGCCCCCTTTCACCAGCCGCCCGACTCTCCCCTACACTATCCGCTGAGGTCAGCAAGGGGCTTCTCGCTATAACAGGATATGGCCCATTGGGACACCCACGCTGGAGAGGTCATAAGGCACCAACAAGGAAATGAACTATCCTGAAAATTATGATGCACTTTGGTCGTATCGACCCACGAGACCATGATCCTACTTCCTCCTGGTACCAGAAACTGCCCAACTTCCTCAATTCCCAAGCTTTACGATTGAAAATTTTCACTGGCGAATTTTCAAGAACGACTTACTTCGATCCCCACGAGTGCATCCGTTTATGAGGACCTCTGGCTTTAACCCATTACTAAAACAATCCTCATCAGCTCTGCTAAGGACGATGCTGATCCGAATGATATAGAAGACTCAACTTGCTATTTCCCGCCATCAATAACACTACCGTGCAATGACGAAACGTAACTATAATCATACACAGGAAGCGTTCAGCAAATCCTCAGAGACCCCCAATGGCCGTAGTGAAATTTCAATATCCCCGGGCCCTAGCGATGGAGAGGGCCATTCAGTAGGCCGAAAAGAGGTCCACGAGCGGTCACAGGCAGGCAGCTCTCCAATGCAGGCACATCCTGCGAACTCCGCACCATCAGGTCGTTCTAGTGAAAACGTCCGTAGACGAAACCGGTTCCGCTGCGAAATCCACTGAAATCGAGTCGTTCGTGAACGGAGGTAGTCCCAGTCGAATCACCTGGCCATCTTGTTCTGACCGGAAGATCATCCCATCCTGGTCTACTGCCAACTCCGTCATGGGGAGAGCGAACCCTAGACCTATGCACTTCTGGTAGGCTTCCTTCGCAGTCCATATACGATAAAACCTGAAGATAATGTTATACATCGAAAGCTCTGTCCTCACGTATGGCAGACACAACACAGATGCATGAATGTTGGTGGTCGAAAAGAAGCTATACACCCCTCCACATGATCTTAGCATATCCGGTTTTTCGAAAATATGAATATGATATCTGTAATATCAGGTAAAGCATAGGTACATACCTCCCTGAGCCGCAAGATGATACTCGTTGTGGTGGCTGTGCACGAGTCGAGAAACCGGATATGCTAAGAATATGTGGAGGGGTGTATACTCTTGTATTCGAGCACCTTCATGCGGTATCACCATTTCACACGTTTCTACTCGATGGGCGAGCGATATACTTCATATAATAGATACATAAAAATACTATAACTAGGACCAATGAGGAGGAAAAAATTTCCCCATAAGGATATGAGCGCCACATAAGCAACAGTATGCATCTGTGCCCAGCCGCGACCGACTACTACTCTCGCAAGACATCCTTGTCCGCTACATGAGCTGTGATGCGGTGGTATTCCTCCCCATTAAGGACCTCCCCTCGCATCTCATCGACAAACTGTCTCGAGGAGTCGTATATTCGGGGTAAGCTGAGGCACTGAATATCCACTCCTACAGCGTACAGGGGGTGGACCTGAAGGGCCCACGGGGTGAGCGAAAGGAAAAACTGGGGGGCCTACTGCCATAGTCACCATCCCGTTGTCGTGAGATATGCTGAAAGAAGGATATGCCTCCCAGGTCTTGGCTGATGAAACCGGTCCAAAGGGAGGCCCGTACGTGGGTTTGAACCTGCGCCCAAAGACAGCACCAGGCTTATGAAACCTGCCCTCGTCCGTCATACATCCCCAACCGCTGTCTTTCCCGGTTAACGATATTGACCTCTCTAAAGGGAATAGCGGTGACCTTATTCACAAAGTAGCGTGGGAGGAGGCGGCTGACCAAACACATCCGTTGGTCCTTCTCCTGGACGTATTGGTCCACCTAAGTGACCCCAGCTGCGACTGACCCGGCGCGTCTCCCAGCCTTAAAGGGCGTCCCACCTTGCCGTTTTCCACTTCAGTGTCCGGTAGCAGTTTCCTTCGCAGGTCCAAGACCTCGGGGTCGCTCACGGTACCCGTCCATGCATCAACATCAACGTAGTAGACATCCAACCGATGACTTGTCATTTACAAGAAGGGGACTTGAGCTCGCGTGGAGGGCTCACCCGCACCAGTGAGAGGGTTCACCGGCACCAATCACCTCGAAAGTTTATCCACTCAGTAACTGGTACGGAGGGCGGCCTACGGCCGCCCCGCAAGCCCTCAGTGCTTCACGCTTTGCAATCGGAGGGTTTTCGGGGTTGGCCGTTTTCCTCGATTTTGCCAAGTGCACAAAACGCGCTGTTGAGGAAGTGCAAGATTTACCAAGTTCTCCAAGTTAGCGGTCTCAGCCTTTTATTGAAGGTTCTCAGGCTGTGCCTGTGACTCCAGTGGTTGTCGTTGATGCTGGTGGCTGTGGTCACCATGATCATAACAAGAATCCTTGTAGAACCGCAGTCGCGGAGCGAGCCAAGCGAGCGGAGCATATACCGTAACAACAGGCACTTTCGCGTTGTGCGTGCGTGCGTGCGTGCAGAGTTATTCTGGCTTAACTACGAAGCGTGGGAGGCTATCAGCTAAATCAAATAACTCCTCTGTATGCGGAGGTGTTGGGGAAAATGGGAAAACTAGATTATGCGAGCCGATCGAAGAGATATGCACGAAAAGCTTTAATGATGGAGAAATGTCCTACCCGGGGATCAAACCGGGGACCTATGTAAAATTCATTGATTGAGTCCATAGACGTGGATTCCGCTCCTTCGTCACGAAGGCCTATTTGTCCTTGAACTCGCCCTTCCCCCGCGTAGCTGGGCTTATTCTGCACGCATGCGCTAATGTGGCCGAGCTGCAACCCTCACTCCCTTTGCGCACACATACACAATTGCCCATGAAAAATGGCACCTCATTTGCGACAAGTCCGGAACGCGGTAGCCATGTCTCAGGGAGGTACACATAGCCAGCGAGACGATGAGGCTGCGAGAATGAGGGTTGGAGAATGTCTTGGATGGATATATTCGTAACAGGGACATGCTCTTTGCATGTGGACGCTTGTTTGAAACATATTCGATGGATGCTGAAGTTATTAGACATCCAACGAAACACCACACTGAAAACGAAGCTCGATACAATAGTAGTTGGGAATTACTCAGTCCTCTCGATATTTCCACAATGGATAGTGGAATGGCGAATATCACCCTCAAACTGAAAGGGGTCCATTTTGTTAGTCACAAGGGTGTTACTGCTTCTAGTCATTGTGCGCGATTGCACGTATGTGCATGGCTGATCATCCATTCTCCCGAATAAATTAAGACAGAGATCTTTACAACTTCTTCTAACTTGTGTTATCGACTAAGAGTCACAGCCAAGCAACACAAGGGGCATCGTCTATAGTTGGGAATGACCCGTCCTGCCTCTATTTTCACAATGGACGGTGAGGTGGCGAACATCACCCTCAATCTGAAGGAGTTCCAAATAGTTAGTCACAAGGGGCATCGTCCATAATTGAAAATTACTCAGTCCTCTCTATATTTCCACAATGGATGCTGGCTCAATCCGAAGGAGGTGCATGTTGTTAGTTATGAGGAGCATCGTCCATTGTTGGGCATGACTCAGTACTCGTATATTTTCACGATGGATAGTGGAGTGACGGATATCATCCTCAATCTAAAGGAGGCCCACATAGTTAGTCACAAAAGGCATCGCCTATAGTTGGGAATTACTCAGTCCTCTCGATATTTCTACAATGGATAGTGGAATGGCGAATATCACCCTCAAACTGAAAGGGGTCCATTTTGTTAGTCACAAGGGTGTTACTGCTTCTAGACATTGTGCGCGATTGCACGTATGTGCATGGCTGATCATCCATTCTCCCGAATAAATTAAGACAGAGATCTTTACAACTTCTTCTAACTTGTGTTATCGACTAAGAGTCACAGCCAAGCAACACAAGGGGCATCGTCTATAGTTGGGAATGACCCGTCCTGCCTCTATTTTCACAATGGACGGTGGGGTGGCGAACATCACCCTCAATCTGAAGGAGTTCCAAATAGTTAGTCACAAGGGGCATCGTCCATAATTGAAAATTACTCAGTCCTCTCTATATTTCCACAATGAATGCTGGCTCAATCCGAAGGAGGTGCATGTTGTTAGTTATGAGGAGCATCGTCCATTGTTGGGAATGACTCAGTACTCCTATATTTTCACGATGGATAGTGGAGTGACGGATATCATCCTCAATCTAAAGGAGGCCCACATAGTTAGTCACAAAAGACATCGCCTATAGTTGGGAATGACCCGTCCTGCCTCTATTTTCACAATGGACGGTGGGGTGGCGAACATCACCCTCAATCTGAAGGAGTTCCAAAGAGTTAGTCACAAGGGGCATCGTCCATCATTGGGAATTACTCAGTCCTCTCGATATTTCCACAATGGATGCTGGCTCAATCCGAAGGAGGTGCATGTTGTTAGTTATGAGGAGCATCGTCCATTGTTGGGAATGACTCAGTACTCCTATATTTTCACGATGGATAGTGGTGACGGATATCATCCTCAATCTAAAGGAGGCCCACATAGTTAGTCACAAAAGACATCGCCTATAGTTGGGAATTACTCAGTCCTCTCGATATTTCCACAATGGATAGTGGAATGGCGAATATCACCCTCAAACTGAAAGGGGTCCATTTTGTTAGTCACAAGGGTGTTACTGCTTCTAGACATTGTGCGCGATTGCACGTATGTGCATGGCTGATCATCCATTCTCCCGAATAAATTAAGACAGAGATCTTTACAACTTCTTCTAACTTGTGTTATCGACTAAGAGTCACAGCCAAGCAACACAAGGGGCATCGTCTATAGTTGGGAATGACCCGTCCTGCCTCTATTTTCACAATGGACGGTGGGGTGGCGAACATCACCCTCAATCTGAAGGAGTTCCAAATAGTTAGTCACAAGGGGCATCGTCCATAATTGAAAATTACTCAGTCCTCTCTATATTTCCACAATGGATGCTGGCTCAATCCGAAGGAGGTGCATGTTGTTAGTTATGAGGAGCATCGTCCATTGTTGGGCATGACTCAGTACTCGTATATTTTCACGATGGATAGTGGAGTGACAGATATCATCCTCAATCTAAAGGAGGCCCACATAGTTAGTCACAAAAGACATCGCCTATAGTTGGGAATTACTCAGTCCTCTCGATATTTCCACAATGGATAGTGGAATGGCGAATATCACCCTCAAACTGAAAGGGGTCCGTCCATTTTGTTAGTCACAAGGGTGTTACTGCTTCTAGACATTGTGCGCGATTGCACGTATGTGCATGGCTGATCATCCATTCTCCCGAATAAATTAAGACAGAGATCTTTACAACTTCTTCTAACTTGTGTTATCGACTAAGAGTCACAGCCAAGCAACACAAGGGGCATCGTCTATAGTTGGGAATGACCCGTCCTGCCTCTATTTTCACAATGGACGGTGGGGTGGCGAACATCACCCTCAATCTGAAGGAGTTCCAAATAGTTAGTCACAAGGGGCATCGTCCATAATTGAAAATTACTCAGTCCTCTCTATATTTCCACAATGGATGCTGGCTCAATCCGAAGGAGGTGCATGTTGTTAGTTATGAGGAGCATCGTCCATTGTTGGGAATGACTCAGTACTCCTATATTTTCACGATGGATAGTGGAGTGACGGATATCATCCTCAATCTAAAGGAGGCCCACATAGTTAGTCACAAAAGACATCGCCTATAGTTGGGAATGACCCGTCCTGCCTCTATTTTCACAATGGACGGTGGGGTGGCGAACATCACCCTCAATCTGAAGGAGTTCCAAAGAGTTAGTCACAAGGGGCATCGTCCATCATTGGGAATTACTCAGTCCTCTCGATATTTCCACAATGGATGCTGGCTCAATCCGAAGGAGGTGCATGTTGTTAGTTATGAGGAGCATCGTCCATTGTTGGGAATGACTCAGTACTCCTATATTTTCACGATGGATAGTGGTGACGGATATCATCCTCAATCTAAAGGAGGCCCACATAGTTAGTCACAAAAGACATCGCCTATAGTTGGGAATTACTCAGTCCTCTCGATATTTCCACAATGGATAGTGGAATGGCGAATATCACCCTCAAACTGAAAGGGGTCCATTTTGTTAGTCACAAGGGTGTTACTGCTTCTAGACATTGTGCGCGATTGCACGTATGTGCATGGCTGATCATCCATTCTCCCGAATAAATTAAGACAGAGATCTTTACAACTTCTTCTAACTTGTGTTATCGACTAAGAGTCACAGCCAAGCAACACAAGGGGCATCGTCTATAGTTGGGAATGACCCGTCCTGCCTCTATTTTCACAATGGACGGTGGGGTGGCGAACATCACCCTCAATCTGAAGGAGTTCCAAATAGTTAGTCACAAGGGGCATCGTCCATAATTGAAAATTACTCAGTCCTCTCTATATTTCCACAATGGATGCTGGCTCAATCCGAAGGAGGTGCATGTTGTTAGTTATGAGGAGCATCGTCCATTGTTGGGCATGACTCAGTACTCGTATATTTTCACGATGGATAGTGGAGTGACAGATATCATCCTCAATCTAAAGGAGGCCCACATAGTTAGTCACAAAAGACATCGCCTATAGTTGGGAATTACTCAGTCCTCTCGATATTTCCACAATGGATAGTGGAATGGCGAATATCACCCTCAAACTGAAAGGGGTCCATTTTGTTAGTCACAAGGGTGTTACTGCTTCTAGACATTGTGCGCGATTGCACGTATGTGCATGGCTAATCATCCATTCTCCCGAATGAATTAAGACAGAGATCTTTACAACTTCTTCTAACTTGTGTTATCGACTAAGAGTCGCAGCCAAGCAACACAAGGGGCATCGTCTATAGTTGGGAATGACCCGTCCTGCCTCTATTTTCACAATGGACGGTGGGGTGGCGAACATCACCCTCAATCTGAAGAGTTCCAAAGAGTTAGTCACAAGGGCATCGTCCATCATTGGGAATTACTCAGTCTCTCGATATTTCCACAATGGATGCTGGCTCA